TTTAAGGAAGGGGGACGAGATGAGAGTGGTTTTTTGCTTTATTCGTAGAATTAGATGACTCAAGCAATTACAAAGAAAATAGACATTCGTCTATAGGAAATATAATAATTTTTTCTAAAAAATGATTTCCTACTACTTATGTAACCAAAGAAAATTAGATTTAGATTCTTTAAAAGCTATTTTTCTCACAACAAAAAAAATCATAAAAGTCAAAATCTAAAAGAATATTGTCTTTAATAAAAAAATTATAGAATATAAAAAAAATTCGTTCCACCCGTGCGCACGGGTTGAAACACTAGTACATAAAAATAAAGAGTCAAGATCATTTAAAGATCTTTTAGGGGTACTAATTAAACTATAGATTGGAATTGCATAACATGAGATAATATTCAGTACCGTACTGTACGTTAATTTAGACAAGACATTCTTTAATTCATCAATCTTTTAGTTTTCAAGAAAATAATTAAAAAAACACATGACTAATCAAAAAAATTCTTCAAATATATTACTCCGTACACATCAATTCATTGGATATAGGCACTGGTTTAATGGATGAATGCCTGAATGGATTTTGGTAGGGCCATTGCCATCTTCCATTAAAAAAATATTCAAAATAATTCTAACTTTACTTTGTCTTTTAAAAATAACTTTAATTTTCACTGTAATCCTTATTAATTTCAACTTTTCAAAAATTTACTAAAATACTATGGAGATATTCTCATTTACTCATCACTTATTACTCCTCAAGTTAGTTAATTAAGTTTTTACCTCCAATCTTTAATTTAAATAAAAACACACAATATAGCCATATAGGCAAATTAAATCTGCCACATATGGATGTCTCTCGTTTAAATGAGTGTCACGTGGACTTCTAATGTCACATAAGATTACTCAACATGCATCACACTAATTTTCAAAATTTGCAAATTGGACCATGTTGTACATCCTTATTCGTTAATTTACCCCAATGATATTATTAATTTACTAATTTTAATCGCGTGCTTTGTACCTAGTTCAATATTCGCAGATTGGTGATGGAGTGTGGAGTCTGCCACCGATACCTGCAGAGATACTATGCTGAGGATAGTTGCCCCTCATCGTGACTGCCAGGAATCGCTCTCGGATCTACTCCCTTGACACTGTCTGCCTTTGCCAACTGCGTTACGTCTACCGACACATGAGAGTTTAAAAAGGCATTGCATGCAATTAAGTGAGAGTGAAAATGGGGAAAAAGGGGGAGTATTGAGACATCCACAGCTCATATATATACATTATTTTGTGTGCTTTCTTTAATTTATTTTTTTTATTTATTAGCTGTGCTTTTTCGTACTCTATTGTACGTACGGCCGCTCGGCTCCTCTTTGGTACGTCACTTGGCTTATTTATCCTCTTTGGTGATTTTAAGTTTCAACTAAAAGTTTATCATGACTCAAATCCTAGCTAGATAAATAAATTTCACTTTTTTTAAACAATATAAAATTTGATAACACGCGACCTAATTATCTTATTGTAACAAATGATCAATGTAACAATAATAATCCAGTTGAATATAATCTCAAAATTTAAAATAGGGTCTCGAGAGAGTCCATATGTAAACATTACTCCTACTTGAGAGTAGACTGATTGTTTCCAAAGAGATTATCGGCTCAAGTAACAGTCTAACGGGCCCTTATATGTATATAACATAGAATAGCTGTTTCCAGATCGCCCATGATAAGTGTCAAAAGTTGAATTAACTTATTGCTACTTTATTATTAAAAAAATGATTTAATTTATACAAATATATTTATAAAAAAAACTAACCATTGAAGTGTAATTTATATTTGGGAAAAAAGTTAAGGGAGTACGTAGGAAATTATCAATAAATGGTGATAATGATATGGAAGTACACTAAGTCATAAAGTCGTAATCGCACTCCATAAGAAGGAACAAAACGTGGCTCTTCGAAAAAAAAAAAGAAAGATAAAAAATGGAGGGTAAGTAATTTGTACAATCCATAATAAAACACATGTTTTTGGCATGCACGTACGTACTTTTGAGTTTAATATCATAATTAATAAAATAGTTTTATGCAATATATATATATATATATATATATATATATGGAAGACACGTGTTAATTAATAATTGGTACATTGATTTTTCTTTAGTGCCTCAATTTTAAAAAAATTACAAAATGGCCCTATTTTCACTTCTCTGCCGCTCACAAAATGATTCAACCGATACTATTTCATTTATGTAGAATTTTTTTCGAAGGAAATCAAATTTCATTATTATCTTAATAAATTGATGAGAAAAAATTGGAATTAATGGGAAAAGACTAAATTAAAAAGAATTTGAAAAAACTGAAAGAATTTGAGAGAGACTAAGAAAAATTGAAAATTAATTTTTCTAAACAACAAGAACAGAGCCTAAAGTGAAATTCTCCTATGACTTGAGTGATAGGAACTAGGAAGTTCAACCTCGAGGATACATGGGAAAGTTCATCCAAGTTCGAGTCACAGCATAGGCGTAGACATTGATTTTTTGAACGTCAATAGATTGAAAATAGTATAAACAAACATTACTATGTAAGAGAATATATAATCCTCAAAAAATACTCACTCCGTCCTAATTCTTTCTTCTCAGTTTGACTTTTCCCCATTTTTAATTTTTGGCTTTGACTTCAAATTTTACCCTCCTTAAGAAAAAAAAATTTGAATTTTTTTTGCAATCATTCAAAATTTAGAGTTAAAAGATAATTGGTGTAAATACATGAGGGTATTAATGTCATTTGTCATCTTTTTTTTCTAATGAGAAGGTAGTTTAGAACGGAGAAAAAGGGGAAGTGAGAAGAAAGTTTTAGGACAGAAGGAGTAACATAGCATAAAGTGTGTCAATTAACGTGCCATATTTAGAACCTGTTCCTTAGGATTGGAAAAAAGAGCTGGATGTTGGAAGAAATAGGAAAAAACTAGAAGAAACTGGAAGAAACTGGAAGGAACTGTAAGAAACTGCAAAAAACTAGAAGGAGCAAGAAAAACTTCAAAAAATTGGAAAACCTAAAAAACTTTAAAAATATTTATTTTAAATTATTGTTGTTATAAATTATTTTATATATATATATACACACACACACACACTCCGTATATATATACATTATTGTTATTATTCATATTATTATTATTATTATCATCATCATCATTATCACGTTATCTTAATGAATGCCTTTAAGATATAAAAAAAGTATTGTTATTTTTAAAATACAAAAAAACTACTTTTGCAAAAAAAATAATTATAATACAAAGTTAGCATAAATATAAAAATATTAAATTTTAAAAAGTCTTTGTCGTTATATTGCACCTCAATTTATTTATGCAGTATTTATTATAAATAATATATTTGTAATTATACTTTATATATAAAAGGATTTTATTTTAAATATCAGACATGTCACATAATATAATCAAACTTATTTTTTCTTTCATGATTGACATTTTATTTTCATTGAAGTCATATTTTTGAAATAAATACATAGAACTTTTTTTATACATTTTTTATGTTTTACTCCTGTTTTAGTCTTTTTCTCTAAACTATTTTGACTTACAATTTTTTTTTATAAAAATTAGAAAAATGAACAAATTTTAAGTAATAAGGGGAAAGGTGAGAGGTCTTTAGATTAATAAAACATTCAATGTGACTATTTTATCCATAATTTTTTAAATAGAATTTAACATATTGTTGTTTTCCTGTTTTATCATGTAGACTAATATACAAAAAGTTGTCTTATTCATATTCAAAAGTTGAAGAAAAAAATAATGAGTGTGAATCGTAAAAATAGTGAGATGAAAAAAATAATTTATAAACTATAGTTATAAACATAACAGTTGTAATAATAATAATAATAATAATAATCACATTAAAATATATCGTTTTTAGAGTAATTGGTTGAGGGTAGGGGAAGACACGGTACGGTTCCGGTACGGTTCCGGTTCCGGTACCGCCACCCCATGTCACCGGAACCGTCACCGTGCCGGCCGGTACCGGTTCCGGTTCCCGGACCGGCCGGTTTGGCCCCCCCCCCCCCTATATTTTTTTTTCTTTTTTTTAAATTTTTAAGTATAAAATTTTAAATTTGCAATTGTTTAAGGAAAGAATGAAGTACCGGAATGTAGTTGTTATTTAAATATTTTAAATGAATAATACACTAACTGAAGAACAACCACATTTAATATCCTGACGGTTCAAAAAAAACGACGAGGTAAAGAACCGTAAAGAAACCTCGAAGGAGCTTATATATCGCTCAGCTAAAAAAAACTAATTACATATTTACATTAACAAAAAAAATTATAACTTATTCTTCAGAACTCGGACTTCCATCTGTTGTTGCATTCATGTAATGCTCCGATTCGAGCTGGTACGTTGACTCTTGAGCTCGACGTCTTGCCAAGAGCCAATCTTGGTTGCAAATAAGTATTTCAAGAGATTCAGCGCTAAGATAACTTCGAAAGTCGGTTAGAATGTTGCCGCCAGCACTGAATTCTCGTTCAACTGCTACGGTTGATACCGGAACGGATAACACTTGTCTTGCTAGCATGCCGAGACATGGGAACATGTGTTCGTTCCGCTTCCACCATCCGAGCATGTCAAAATCCACTTCGTCTTCATCGTAGTCGCATGGCACACCCTGGTACATAGCAAGTTCGTTGTGCGAGCTTACTGTTGTACCACTTGAACTCGTCGAAGAATGAACACGCCTCCCTTTCTTTGCAAGAAGCCCACCGACTATTCCGGCAAAACCTTTTTTTGATTTCGGGGGCGGAGGTGGTGCTGTTTCTTCATGTACAGTGCCGTATAACCCTTGATATTCCTCAAACAAATTCTCAAAAAAAGTTACAGCATTATCTCTTTCTTTTTTCCATTCTACTAAATAAGTGTAGTAATAACTATTTTCATCTAAAAAACACTTGTAGTAATAATCAATTAAAATTTTATAATTTTCAATTTTAAAGCGTGGATCACAAATAATACTTATTTTATAAAGATCAAGAATGTACAAATAATAAGAACACCATTTTTGTATCATAGGAGAGACATATGGGTACAAATCTGGATCAGCCTTACTTTCACGAAAACATGTTGCGATTGTAACGCACTCTTTTAAAAATGTATTTGTAGTTGGTTGGTAAACATGAGAAAAAGTAAGAGTTGCGTTATTAAAAACTTCTAATACGGCATTCAATTTTTCAACAAGTACAAATTCAAAAGGATCAATGATTATACGAAGTTCATCACTAAAAAATTCAGCAAGTTCCTCTTTATATTTTAGAATCTGATGAATCAATTTGTATGTACTATTCCATCTAATGTGGATATCTTTTGCAAAAACTATTTCTTTTCTACCTTTAGACTTACAGAAAATCTTCCATTTTTTCGAAACAAGACGAGCCCCCCAAATTCTTTTAATTCCTTCTTTAATATTCGTCAAAACTCCGCCCATAGCTTCTAGTCCCTGTTGAACACATAAATTTAAAACATGACAGGCACACCGTTGATGCAGAAATCTACCCATAGCCGTAGACGGTGGGCAAATTTCTCTAAGTCTAGGAATGGCTGCAGTATTATTAGTAGCATTATCAAAACCAAATGAAAACACTTTGTCA